AAAAAAAAAGTTTGAAAAGCACCATCGGATCAATGAATGAATGAATGAATGAATGAATGAATCAATCAATCAATCAATCAATCAATGAATCCATCGAATCAATCAATCATTCAATCAATTAATCAGTCAATCAATCGAAAAAAAAAAAAAAAAAAAATGTTATCCAATCGAATCGATTGATTCGATTGGATCTTGATTTCGAAAATCAAGATCCAATCGAATCAATCGATTCGATTGGATAACAATTTTTTTTCTTTTTTCTTTTTCGATTGATTGATTGATTGATTGATTGATTGATTTGCAAGGAATATGAGAGTGAACGATATACAGAAAGCCCAGTTGCGGAATCACACAGATGTCCAAGTAGTCGTGTGCAAGAAGAGAGCACATACAATGAAGTAATGAGCCAATGTTCAAGCCCTCAGGCCACACCTACACATTATCCAAAGTCGCTCCCTCTGCTCGGCCTCCTCCTCCCTCCTCCTCGGCGATCCTTCATCCTCCTCGACGATCCTCCTCCTTCCTCCTTCCTTCTTCCTCCTCCTCCTTGTCCTCGCCTCCTCCTTTGTTTCCTCCTCCTTCGTCTCCTCCTCCTCCTTCGCCTCCTCCTCCTTCCTCCTCCTTCTCGGCGATCCTCCTTCCTCCTCCTCCTCCTCGGCGATCCTCCTTCCTCCTCCTCCTCCTCGCGTCCTCCTCCGTTTCCTCTCCTCCGCCTCCTCCTCCTCGTTCGTCTCCTCCTCCTCCTCCTCCTCCTCCTCCTCCTCTTCCTCTCGTCCTCCTCCTCCTCCTCGTCGCATTCTACACAACACTTGTGCATAGTAGATACACGGCAGCTCCTGGGCATGTAGCAGTTGAGGAGGAGGAGGAGAAGGAGGATGAAAAAGAAGAAGATGAGAAAAAAGAGGAGGAAGTGGAGTAAGAGGAGGAGGAGGAAAAAGAAGATCAGGAGGTGGAGGACGAAGAGGAGGAGGAGGAGGAGGAGGAGGAGGAGGAGGAGGAGGAGGAGGAGGAGGAGGAGGAGGAAGAGGAAGGAGTAGAAGAAGAGGAGGAGGAAGAAGAGGAAGAAGAAGTAGAAGAAAAGGAGAAGGAGGAGGAGGAAGAGGGGGACGATAAGGAGGATGAAGAAGAAGATGAGGAGGTGGAGGAGAAGAGCGAGGAAGAGGAGGAGAAGAGCGAGGAAGAGGAGGAGGAGGCCGAAAGCTTTGCAGCAGCAACATGGTGCTCCCGGCGAAGGCTCCAGCGGCGGTGGCGATGGCTCCAGCAGCACAACAACTGGGAAGTGGGGAAACGGGGGCAGCATGGCGTCAGCGCCGACAGCCCTAGGACACCGACGGCAGGCGGGGACGAGCAGCAGGCACTACGGTGACGGGGCAGCGTTGCAGCGGCCTACTGCTTCGGATGACCGCCGCACCACTCCAGGGTACTGGGCCGAATTCGAATTCAAAAAGTGGCCCGATCTGGGCCGTCGATGTTAGTCGATCGACGGCCCAAATCGGACCATCAATATTTCAAATCCGGTAGGGCCCTTACCGGATCCGCCTCCAAGGCGGGGTTCTGAAGCTCGATCAAAACCCCTGCCCAATCATAAACCCCATAAAATAGACCTGCACCTATTTTGCGCAGGCCCCGGAATGGTAATTTCCGGGTTCTTCCGGGTCCCTTCTTCCGGCCAGATAAACCGGATGACCCTGATATCCGGAAAAAAAACTTAGGAAATAACACCAAGGCATGAGAAAATACCTCGGCCTAGCAAAAAGTAGCTAAAAACAAAAAAAATCGAGAAAAAGGTTCTCTAGGCCTTTTTCTCGTTGGGGTGCCCCTTGGGAATTTGGACTCTAGTGGGCAACATTCTGAAAAGGAAAAGGAGGTTGAAGAAGGCCAAGAGGCAATCCGAGTTGGTACCAACCACTCAGACTACATGTACTTGGCCAAAATGAGGCCCAGGTACCCTCGGATAAGCCTAGTGGTGGGTTTTTGCCTTGGGGGTACCTCGGTTCACTTAGAGGCACATGGGGAGGCTCATGGGTTGACCGACAGTCCGGTTTCAGCCTACAAAAGCAGAGGGAGCAGCCCGCCACACTCACACTTACATGAGGAGTGCCCATGCTGCCCAAGTGAGCTCTTAAGAACACTTCTCTCACTTGGAGCAAGGAGAGGAGAACCCATGCCAATTTGGAAACTTAGAGGAGAATGTGGATTAGTGTGAGGAACCCTAGAGGCTGGTGGTATTGAGGGAGGCCTAGGAAGGTGATCCGCCATAGCCCCCAGGCTGTGAGGAAGAAGGAAAGGCTAGGAGTCTCATTAGCCCTCCTAAAGGGCCTCCTAGAGGGGAGGACCGTCTATGATGACATAAGCTAAGGCCCAGTGATTTCCAAAATGAAGAGGGATAATCACTAAGTCATAATAAAAAATATTTGCGTCCTTCACCTATTTCATCGCTTTGGAATATGCAGTTTCAAACCTCGAAGGACCTGACAATCGAATGAAGAAAAAGGAATTGAAAATGTACACAAAAGGAACACTACAAGAGTTTTCATGATCTCTTGTCACTTTTGTACATGCCGAATTAACCTTGAAGTGGTCATTAGTGATCTGTACGGCCAGCAGGTACAAATTGACGACTTCGTCATTTAGCCATTTCCCATCCTTGACGACGACCATGATGTCTTCCTTTCCCACCTTCCAGCTCCCCTTGTACTCGACAATGTCGTATGCTTCATTGTCTTCGCTGTTGTCTGTAATCATGTCAAGATACTCATTTTTTTCTACGGTGAGGCGTTTTGTTGCGAAATGAATATGGAACGAAGGGTCATGAACTGCATACAAACACACATATAAACAGCAATGGAACGATTAAGACTTCATACAAAAACGAACTTTTCGTTATGTGATGTACGACGTAGACCCAAGTTCATGTTTTTTGTTGTCTATCTGTTTCGCTATCAGAGCTGTCATCCACAATAGATAAACTGCAACCTTCGCGATGCAATTTCTTCCCTTCTCTGAGGCTTATTCCAACCGCTTTAAACATCCTTAGGGCAACTGGCTTTATAGATGGAAATGTCATGGGTGTAAGCCTTCTTCTCTCTTTTTTGGACAATAACGACAAAGTCGATAAGGCTTGCAAACCACAGCGAATAATATTCTTCTCACTCTGCCTTTGCGAACGTACGTCCGTCGTTTTCCACAGTTCTTTTCGTTGCCCTGCATGTTCAGCAATATAAAACGACAATGATTGACAAGACAAAACATTATGATTTTAAGTTCAATTTTCCACATAATTGCAAATAAGAGATACACAATATTCTACTTCATTTCTTCTCATCACCGAGCGCACGGTTGCAAACCTAGGCAAAAAATTAGTTCCTATGAGATGAGTGCATGTACCCCCTAATCCGCATACAGTATGAGATATTCCCTTAGAGATAAGTACGTGCTCACCTCGGTGGCTCACTAACGCTTTGTCTTCAACACGACCTTCTATCGCACCATGCGATGGTGTAAAAGGAGATTCGTCGATAGATATCACGAGGTTAGCAGACTGTTGTGCTTCTGATTTTGCAACCATAAGTTCAGGTTGTACAAGCGTATGTTGCTCCCGTGTACTTAGTACTATATGTCCTTCATCCTCTTCGATGGCCTGCACATTGACAGTTTCCTTTGCACCTGCAGTCGCGCTTTCATTCTTCATGTCCAGAGAGACTTCATGCTTATCTTTCTCAGCTGGCATATCCAACGATGGCACCCCTAATTCTGCAAGTGCACCAGTATTATCCACTAGCGCAGTAACACTCTCGCTCGCCAACACAGTGGTCGCCCAAACTTGGTCATCCGAAAGGACATCTTCGACACATTTCGGCAGTTCTCCATGACTTACGCCCTTGACGCTTGCACCGCCGCTTCCTCCCAAATCCTGGCCACTTGCATCGCCTCTCGATCCCCTGCCATGTGCACCGCCGCTTGGTCCTAATCCCAGAGGCGAACCCGATCCCCTGCAATGTACACCGCTGCTTGGTCCTGATCCCAGAGGCGAACCCGATCCCTTGTCATGTGCACCGACGCTTGGTCCTGATACCTTTCCCTTTGTTGCTTGACGCCCTTGACACATTTCGTGTTTTTGCAGTTCACCATGACTTATTGGCTTTCCACTTGCACCGACGCTCGGTCCTAGGCCCTTGCCACTGGCACCGCCCCGTGGTTTCGATCCCTTGCCATGTTCACCACCGCTTGATCTTGTTCCCTTGCCAAGCGCACCGCCGCCTGATCCTGATCCCTTGCCACTCTCATCGCCGCTCGCTCCTTTCCTTTCCCCAACTTTGCCTTGAAGTTCCTCTTCGATACGCCAATTATATCCAAAAGCTGGACTTGTTTCTCGATCATAGAACTCTTCCAGATACTCAAGCCATCGAGATATTTTGAACTCCTGAAAAATTTCTTCTGTCCTTGCATCCAGTCTTGATTGAGAAACATTCGAATTAAGTCGCAGTAGTCGCTTGCCAATCTCATTTCTGGCGTGTGTGACAAACTTGGATTGTGACATACGTCTGTGGAGGCAAAATTGTCACTCCCCTTCTTCTTTTATAGCCATTACCCAGTTCCCGCTCGCCAATGCAGGTTGGAAGTGGTGGGGGTGCCATATAATGTGATGACCCCATATGTTGTCAGGCATCACCGTATAATCATTTCGGCACACAATAGGTCCAGGAAGCCGTGCAATGTCCGGAAGGATGATGTCTTCAATCTCGTACTCCAAAGGCTCAGACGGAGGTTGTTGAGGAGTTTGAGAGCGTAGCAATTCCAAAACAGTAGTCGGGCTATGTGTAAGTGTTGACAGACTTGTCATAACCTCTGGGGAGAGTATTGCCTGCACCCTCAGATCATCCCGAACTGCGCCGGAAGATAGCGTTGTTGTGTTGCCCGCCATGTAACTGGTCCGTTGAAACTGGTCCGTTGAAACTGGTCCGTTGTAACTGCCATACTTGAGGCCCCCCCAAAACCGGACGATGTGCCCGACGCACCCATCTTCTACGAAGCCGAGCTACAAGTTTTTTGCCTCTCATCTGCCAAATTCGCTTGCAAAGTACCATCTTCACTTTCTTCCTCTGAGTCCTCATCATCGAAGCCTTCCCCAAAACAAGTTGCATAAGCTGCGATTGTAAACGCCCCGATGTGTTCGTCGAAGTACATCATCTCCAAACGGTCTAAAAATGCAACTTCCGTCTCCGCCGGTGCCTTATGATACCCCCTCAAAAGTGATTCAATTTTTCGCCTTCTGGCGACATATGCACGTTCCCC